CTCTGGCCAACGTCGGCATCCGGCCGTACGCGGGCGAGGTGATGGCGCCGTTCGACGCCAACTTCCACCTCTTTTAGAGCGGACCCAGGTCAGCGGGGAGGGCGTGGCTCGCTGGGGCGGCGGCTCGCGCTGACCGCGCGCGCCCCTGCGCTGCCCCCCCCCTTTGTTGATGACACCGGCGCGTATCCTCTCTCTTGTGTGCAGTCTTGGCGCATGTACCGATCGCCGCTACGCGCGCGCTCGCGGGCGGGACGCCGTTGTACTCAACCTTGCTAGAGCGTCTCGCCACCTCTCCTGTGTCTCTCACTCCGCTCTCCACACACGCAGGCACAAAAAATCGAGAGTCCCACACGCTCAAAACGTACGTACGCTAATACGGTCACACTGCCAGCGTGCGGCCCAGGGTCAAACCGTGCTGCTGTCGCGTGTCGGACACACACTGTCTACACCACACGTCTGACGTCTCGCGCACACACCCGACACCGGCAGTCGGCCTCGGCGGCCCACGCTTCTCTCTAGCTCTAGCCTCTACTTCTTTTGCTCGCCTCCGAGCTTGTCTGTGATCCAGTTTCCAGCCGCAGTTATTCCTGCGGTGACCTTCCCGCTCACATCATGCCGCTCGTTCATGTCGTGAGCCCAGGCCAAGCTGTTCTTCGCCCCCTCTGCCACCTTATCCGAAATCTTGTGCTCCTCGTTGATTTCCCGTGCTTTGTCGCCGATGGCGAGAGCAGCCTTCCCCGTCGACTTGGCAGCCGCTCCCACCTCATCGTTGCGAGTCGCCGCGTACGCCGCTCCTCCTGCCGCAGCGAGCCCGACTAGCGGACCCGCAAGCACAAACGCGGCAACGCCGCCAACCGCTGCTGCGCCAGCAACAACCTTGCCGTCAAATTTTTCACTGCTTGGAGCAGGCGTGACCTCCTCTCCCTCTTCTGAAGACATATGTGATTCCTGTCTGCTTTCCGGCCGCAGCGCGAGGCCGCGGCCGCGATCAAGAGGAAGAAAACGCGGCGGACCACTGGCAATATTTTTATCGTCGGCGAATGTGGCGAGCAGGTCGACTGGCAGCGCCGCGGCCGCTGCCTGCGTGGCCCACCGCCGTGCGTTGGAGGCGCAAGCTCCCGCCATCCGTCATCGTGGTGCGCGCCGCCCGTGGCAGCGCGCGATACGCCCAAGCTCTGACCGTTGCCGCCGCGTTTGCAGACGGACCGCGCCGACAGCCGCCTGTTTGCGCTGCAGAGCACAAAGTCCGACGTGGCGGGCTGCCGCCTCGGCATGACGAACAACTGGGGCAGTCCCAGCGGGTTCACGTACACGCTGAACTTTGTGAAGAGTGGCGAGGAGGACCGGACAGATGAGCGCATTGATCTCGAGAGCGGAGCAACCCTCTTTGTCGAGCGCAAGGCGCTATGGGTGGGGGAGGGCGGTTTGCTCGGAGCGACGGTGGACATCGACGACAAGTTCAACCTCATCGTAAACTCGAAAAGCGATGAGCCGCAACGGGGCTCCGCAGGCTTAACCGCCGACGAGGTCGCACGCAGGGCTGCTACGAACACCGACGAAGAGAGGTGAGGGGCTAGTGGGGGGAGGTGGGAGAGGGGCTGTGTGGGGTTGTTGCGGTTTTACCCGCGCTCTAGTAGGCTTCAGGATAAAGTCGGTGGACGTGGTTGCGACCGGCGACGGAGTGGCCCATGGCGACGGAGTGGCCCATATGGCGCTTGGACATGGAGCACTTGGAGTGCTGTTGGCAACCTCACATCCAGGGCCGGGGAGCTAAGAAGCGCACCCAGCGGGCCCCCATACCGCGTTGGTGCCTCCATCCCCCTGCGGAGCGCGCCGTCGCGGAGAGAGCGCGACACGTCGTCGTCCCACGTGCGGGTCTCTCCCTCTCTCGGCCCTCCTCGAGTGCTCGGCCCCGGCCGCGTCGGCCCGCGTCGCCGTCGGTTATCTAGATCTACGGTTCAAATTAATCCCGCTGTTTAGGAAAAAAAACTCCCCGGCAACGGTCAACCCGCAGCCGCGATGGCCACCTCGTACACGCAGAGTGCCCCGAGCAGATGCCAGGCACCGTGCAACGCCATGTACGCGCGGGGTCCATCCCACACCCAGCCCGCCGCCAGCGCCGCAAACGATCCCACACCGGCGAGGAGTGCGCTCGGCGGCACCGCGCCTCCCAGCCCAAGGACCAGCACCAGCGTGCGGAGGGCGGTGGGAACGGCAAAGATGTAATCGAGAAGGATGGCGAGCTGCACGGAAGGGTGCTGCGTGCCTCCGTAGCAGCACTGGGTATAATGGTACCACACCGAAGCCATCCCGGCCAGCTCGAGCTGAAGGGCAAGCGCCGGCGAGGAGCCAACCAGTGCGCCTCCGGCGGCGAAGAAGACGATGTTGGTCGCAAGGAAGATCTGGCACTCTGGAGAACTCTCGTCCAGGGGACGCAGGTCGGCATACTCCAGCAGCCACCTCCCGCTCGGCAGCCCCTTGCGTATCCTCCGCACAGGCCGGAGGATCCTCCGCTCGCCGAGCGCGGTGGCCCGCCGGCTACCGAACAGGAGCGGGCGACTCTTCACGGCTGCTGCCCGCGGCGCGGACAGCGCTGCCGCCGCTGCGACGAGCGAAAGCCAGGCCAGGGCTGAACGTCTCATATGAGCCTACGCCAGCTCGCACTGCTTCTCGCCACTGTTTCGCGGCAGCGGAGAAGAAGAAGAAATTTACCATCCACACAGAGAAACGTGAATGCTGAGTTCATTTCATAACTAACGTGAATGCTGCTGATCGTCCTTACAAGATCCTGCTCGCGCAGGTGGGGACCCTGTCCTTCTCCCACCCCTTGTTTGGTCTGTCCGTTTTATTTATTTTATGTGAATGCTGCGCCCTTGGGTTGTCCGTTTTCTTTCTTTGTTTCTTTGTGAATGCTGCGGAGCTGGTGCATCCCTCCGGGGGCGCCTCTGCGCCGGGGAGGCGTTGTTGGAGGCTAGGACGCAACGCGTCCTCCCCCTTTTCAAACTCGGGGCCCACTCCGCTACTACACCTACGCTCGCTCAAGCCCGAATTTGGAGGGCCTAAAAGTTTAAGCATTAAGGTGTTGCTGCGCAAAAGGGGTCGGACACAGGGCGCAGCTCATGCTAAGAGCTAGAAGAGGAGATAGTAGATAGAGAGAACAACCACCCTGTCCCGTTATTGCGTACACCAACACCACAAAAGCTCAAGAATTCAAAAATTTCTCTCTCAAAAGCTCTCTCTCCTGCTCCTCACTCAGGGCACAGGGGGGTCACAACTACCGAGTTCCTAGAGTCTAGCTGCCGCGTTCAAACCAGGACGGCGGCAGTGATGGTGCTATCACGGGCATGATCCGTGGAAAGTGGAGCGGGTGGTCCGGGGATAGAGGGATAGTAGAGCAGGCGCTTTGTGGGTGGCGGGTAGGGGGGCGGCGTTGGGTGGCCGGCCGAATCGTTAGCGGAGCTCCTCCGACAACGTCGGCGAGCTTCTGAATCAGGTTAGGTTGCCGGAGCACCGCCAACTCCTCCTCTGAGTCAGACACGCCAATGTCGACTGCGCCCTCCTCCCATTCGTCGACTGCGCCCTCCTCCTCCTCCTCCAATTCGCCGACTCGGCGACTGCGCCCTCCTCCTCCATGGGCTCGATCCGATTCCGCAGCGTGTCGTCCCCAGCGGCGGTGCGCGGGAGGCGGCCGCGGGCACGCTGGGCTCGATCAGCGGCTTCCCCTCAAGTTGCGCCGTAAAGCACGGAGATTTGGCGGACGTTCTTGCTGAGCCCTGGTCTGACAGCCTGACAGCAAACCCCGGACAGCGCCTGACAGTGCCCGACAGCCTGACAGCGCTGACAGCACTTTCTCTGACAGTCTGACAGCACGTATCTGACAGCCTGACAGCAGAGCCTGACAGGCGAGGCGCTCCGTCGCTGTCAGACCCTAACGTGAGACAGCCTGACAGCTGCCTGACAGCCCGACAGCACACAGTGGCCTGACAGCAGCGCTGACAGCCCGACAGCAGCACAGACCGTACACAGTCAGACCCCCCCCCGTAGAGCCTCTTTCTTGTGCCCCATGAGGGTATAACAAAACTATTACATGCAAAGACATGTACATGTGAGTGTGGTTCATGTAGTCATGGGATGGTCATGGGTCTCTGACTCTCTCAACCCTCCCGCCCCACCTCTGCGGACCCCTCTCTAGCACCGGCGGCTGTGCTACTACAAATGAAGCTACCAGCTAGCCTTCTGGGGCCCTACAGTCATATGCCTACGGCGTCTGGGTGTGGGTGGCCGCCGCCGTCTGTGCCGCCGCCGCGGCCTGCGCCTGCGCCGCCATCTGCGCTCCCCAGGCGGCCGCCCCTGCCGGCGTGATCACGCCGTAGGAGGGGGGCAGCTGCGTACCCGCTGGTCTCCCCTTGATAGTGTCATAAGTGTGGCTGGTGTGTGTCAGAGCCTGATAGCACCCCGACAGCTAGGGCAGCCCGACAGCACCACCTGACAGCACCTGACAGTAACAGCCCAACGGCTGACAGCAGCAGCAGCCTGACAGCTCTGACAGCTCCGACAGCGTCTGACAGCAACACCCGACAGCTCCGACAGCACCCGACAGCTACAGAGCCCCTCGCCTGTCAGACACGCACCCGACAGCACCCGACAGCACTGACAGCACCTGACAGCTGGTCTGACAGAGGCACTTGACAGTGCCTGACAGCTGCCCGACAGCCCGACAGATCACCTGACAGCACCTGACAGCCTGACAGCCAGGGCTCAGCGTTCTTGTTTAGGTATGTTGTTGGTTTCAATTTGACGGATGTCTTGCTACCAGCTGAAGGCTTGCATTGTGCACGGTATTCGGATTTTGCTATTTGCTCGTGTGGGGGGGTTCGGCCCGGAGGGCCGGGTAGGAGGGGTCTAGGTTACCTCTACCTCTGAGGGCCTGCGGCCCTCTTACCTTTACCTCTGGGCAGCCGCGGGCCCTTTACCTCTACCTCTGAGCGACGTAGCCGTGATTTACCTGTGCGTGATCTCCAGTGATCTCGCAGCTATCTCGTATCTGTAATTTTATTACATACTAGAAAAAAATAGAACGGCAGCGCACGTTTCGGTGCTTCGGCGAGCGCTCGACTCGGGCCGCGCTATCAAAGAGGCTTGCACTCACAAGCCCAAGCGCCATGGCACTGCCAACCCCAGATGGGGTCGTTGCTCTTGATCTGGATCTCAGTACATTGCCGGATGAGGCCGGCATCTATTGGCTGCAGCGCGAGACGGGTGCCCTTCCCGATAACCACCTTCTCGTACAGCTCATGCGGTCTGCAATGCTGGGCTCCATCGGCCGCTCGCCAACGAGTGATGAGCTGCCCACGCTGCTGGCCTGGCAACGGCAG